TTCTTAAAGAATGTAATAATGTGTGCGTTCTTCAACAATTTTGAGAGATGGAAACAGAATTTTTGCTAAGAGGTAAACCAGAAATTAAACATGTTGGCAACAATATGATTTATAGCTAACCACTTGATGCATTGTATAGGATATTTGTTTTTTCAGTTTATGAGATTGTTTTACAAGTTGTTAGCTTATTGAAAATGTATGGAAGGACATGATAATAACCAGAACATTATTTGTTTATATGACTGCGAGAGAATCAAATTTCAAAGCAAGTTTCTTTGTAGGCTTTCGAAGGGGTTGAAAACGACGGATTCAACAATCTAATTTAATATTAGACCCAATAGTACTGAATCAAATATCAAAGTACATACAAATTGTATTTATATACGATGCAAGAAAATTCATATTGTATACTGTATACAAATACAACTACAATGATATTTGAATTGATATTCCAAACGAGAGAAACAATTATTATTGAATCATATTATTTAAAAAAATAGATGAACGTGCAATACACATAGTTTTACTATTTTTCGCACATAGTCTTACAATTATTTTCAACCTATAGTCCTCGCCTCCATATATATAAGACATATTTTAATTAACCCAAGAAAATATTCTGCTGATAACTGAATACTTATATTGATAATAGCCTAGGTACGTATTACAATTTGCAAGTCCATACAAAGATTTGTAAGTTGTATAATTGCCACATTTCTTTTACGCTTTGTTCTAATATTCCTGCATGTAGCTCCAAAATGTTTCCCTTTCGGGAAGAGTGAAAAGAGAATCAGTTCTAAAAAAGAAATTGTAAACCCATATACAATAAGCAAAATAGAATTTCTCCCTGTTTTCTAGAAAAGTATTTTCGACAACAAAGAATTGTCAATGATTTTATTCGTGATCGTGCAACAAGAAGAATAGAGGATACTATTCGGCTAAAAATGAGAAGAAAAAAAACTCAAATTTATCAAGAATATAAACAATCACACCAACCATCCTTTTTTTTGGTCATTTGAAAATATTATATCATGCAAAGAGTTTGATGTTACAAACAGGGAACAAAACATATTACACAAAAGATCAAAGTCGAAAGTAAGCAAACAGATTATCTCCTTTCATCCTCAAAGACCTCGGCCAGCCATGAAGGAGACCCTTGAGCTATGTAAGATTGCCATCGATTTTGGCAAGTCACACTTTGCGCAATCAAGAAGGCACCTCTGTTTGCAAATCAATTTTCAAAAACCATTCTCCAATCCTCAAACTTGCTCAAAACAAGCTTCAATTTAGAGACATGGTACCAAAAATTAGACACAACCAGTAGGATTTTTGATTGCCTTAATCATATTAACCGCATCAGGTGCAAAAATAACCTTATCTAACCCATGAGCAGTCATACTCTCCATCGACCATAGTAGACTTTTAAGGTAAGCCTCTTCAATATTCTTTATA